AAGGCAATTTTCTATATCCCTTTCCTTGGGAAACAGAAAAGTGATTGGCTTACTTGCTTGGTGTCTCTAGTAGGACAAAACCAGCTTCTCCATCCCTCATTCAATAATAACTCTATAAGTAGCATATTTGATCCACTGATTGTTTGCATAAGCTGAGCTCTTTCAAAGGTTCTATTGGATGCATTCTTCTGGATTCACTTACAGTGTTGGCTGGCTGAGGCAAAGCATCGCTCCCATGCAGTCAGGAAAATACTCTAGCATCCCAACATATTCATTTGGAGGCCACCATATTGCCCCAAGTTCCTTTTAAGCAAAAGGATGGTCCTGGCTTGTAAGGTAAAGTACACATAGAAGACTTTTTTGCCTAATAACACATCACATGCTGAAAAAAAACGGCTGAGTACTTTGGGCTGAGTACATGTTTGAGCTGAAACTGCTCCTACGAATCTGGGAAGTGGGAATACAATCTGAAAGTGAGTGTCAAATCCTGTTGCACAGCAGAGGCAATACTACTGCATTTTTGCAAATATGTTTTGTGCCTTGCAATGCAGAATTTTAGAGTGGAAGCTTTTCCATGCCATCGCTTAGAAAAGTTACTTCTTTTGGAGCATAACTTTGGGAATTTTCTAGCCAGCATGGCCACTGGCTGTGGGTTTCTGGGAGCAGCAATCCCAGAAAATAAATTTTACAAACAGGGATTCCTGGTGTGGGACAACTAATCACTTTATCTGAGCTGAATCTGGTTGTGCCCTTCTTTCCATGAAAGGGCTTTTGATGCAGAGAACGTATCTACAAATGGAAAAGGAAGACAGGAGATTTTCATCAGCTTCCCCTTGCCACACTGGTACTTTGTGCTTCCCTCTACCAAATTCTGCTCCTTGAGAATGATGTGGAAAGCATTGCATTGGGCTTGTAGAGGAACAGTGACTAACTGTCCAACCCCCAGCTCTAACAGGAGGACCGTCTGTTAGATCAAAGACCCTTCAACAAATGGAAGGATTGCTTAAACCTGCAGGGAAAAATCTTCAGACATAATTCTTTATTTTCTGTTATTTGGTTGCTGTTAAAAGGCCAGGCAAGAGTTAAGCAAACAAGCAATCAAAACTATCGGCAGAGCTTTGTATGTGGAGAACTTGTGGCTTTTTATATCTTGGTGACTACAATAGTTATCATCATGGACCACTGGCCATGCTGGCCTGTTATGATTGGACTTGGGAGTCCCAACAGTATCTGGAAGGCCACTACAAAACAAACAAACAAACAAAAAACCCTGAGAGAACCTGTGAACACCATTCCCGAATCTGACACCTAAAAACTAGTAACAAGCATGAAAAGGTATTCCATGAAATGGGAATCGCTGCTGACAGAAGGCAGTGTTGTGAGTGCGAGGGAACCTGCAGAAACATCACAGATGCAGAATGAAACACTGGAGGGAACACACAGAAGATGGCAGGTCTGGTAGGCTTTAAAAGTTAGACCTATGCCTTGCTCATGGGGTTAGTTCCAATTGACAAGGAGATGGAAGAAAATGGATATAATATATTGTGAATGCCCAGCCCTACCCAGTAACCTGAGGACAGCATTTTGTCACCAGTGGAAGCCAAAATGTCATTACCTGCCAATGCTGGAAAATAAGAATGCCACCATCTATATATTTCTTTGTTATAATTATATCCACCTTTCTTTTAGTGGGCGCTGCTTGGGGCACAAATATGAACTCTCAGGATTCAAACTGGAGTGAGGAGTAAATTGATTTTAATAATATGGAACCATAAGCAGGATAAATAGTATTATGGGAGAATTAAGAGCTACAGTATTGGCTAAAGCAGGAAGTCAAGACCAGAAACCAGCTCTATTGTTTTTACTGTATTCCATAACTTCGCTTATAGTGCAAAGTTTCATTATCTCCATTAATGTTTGCATTCACAACAAAGAAAAAAAACTGCAAACAGAGCCATACATAATGGACTTCTGCAGCTATCTTTGTATCCACTGCCAGTAGTTGCTGTGTAGAGAAACATAGTGTGATTAAATAGCAATGCCCAGAAAGTCTATATGGAAAGTTGGGGGCAGGACAAGGTGGCAGCTACAGTGTGTGCATATAACAGATTGGTGAGAAAAATCACCCTAATGGGTAAAATGAATAAATTCACAGGAAAAATAATTCTTAATGACTGCTGGCTTTCATTACTGCATATTCACACAAATGTACTATAAAATAAGATGGAGAGTCCATGGTAATTTAGATTTTTATGTTGCTTTCCCCCGCAAACAGGTTTGTTCTAACCAGCACACAACCAATGGCTGTGCAAACACAATAATTGCTGGTAATAACATGTTGCTCACTAACATTCTGTCCCCATGAAAATACTACAGTGCCAGAAATTGCAACAAGATGACTAGTGTGTTAACCTGCAACATCTTCCTTATAAATTGCACACTCCTTCAAAACAGTAATAAGACTGTTTTCCATGCTTGAAATACAGAGTTAGATAAAGCTGAGATTTCAGGGAAGCACAGAAAGCCCTCACAGTATGGTATTGGGGGTGCAGAATTCAGCTTCCAAAAATATGTTTTCATCTTTTAAAAATAGCATATTTCTCACCACCACTACAGGACATTCGTATATGCATGAATCTGTGTGAAGCATCATCTATGGAGTACAGACATCTCAGAAGGCAGAGGGATGGCTGAACAAGATTCAGTCAATGTGATGAGCTTCATTTGCTCTGCACAGCACCTTGAGCTGACCTTGCCTCACCAAAAAAAAAGTTGTTTAACTCAGCAGTTTGTAGAAGTTAGTGTACTTGAACACAGTATTTGGATCACCTTTGTCCAATGTTAATTCTGTCACAGTATTCATTGGGAATCATAATCTAATGAGTGAATGATGAATGGGAGTAAGGAATTGAAGAATTTAACCCGGATGAACTTTCAGTACAGCAAACTGATCTTGCCTATGCAGCTGAAGGACATCCTTTGATTTAACAGGTATTACTGTGTTTGCTTTGATATGCTAGCCAGAAGGAAAAGCAGAGCATGATGGGCAATTTTTGATTCACTGTACTTTCTGGCATTCTTCTTGGCAGCAGAGAATGAAGTGTCTAGGCTGTTGACTGGCAGAATATCTTTTGATGAGAGAGCTGCACTAATTGCCAATTTACTATGTTGCAGGTGCAAGATTTTTGGAATTGACTTTAGAGCCCTAAATAGATAGGTCAGTGAATTAGGTATGTGGTGCACAACCAGAGATTGGGAGTTTAATTCCTCATTGTGATTCCCAGGGAGTAGCTAGCCTGCACAGCCTTGGACAAGCTTCACAGCCTCAGGATACTCCCAGAAGGGAATGGTACTTATCAGTACACTGTATCTAGAAAACTCCGGCACAGGTTGCCCTGAGTCAGAACTGACTTATGATGGGCAATTATTATTGATATACCCAATGTGGCACAATGGGTAAAGTGACAGATTAGTCTCCAAGGAGACTTGGGCTTGAAATTTTACTCCTTAAATATATCATTTATCTTGAAAGCCCTATTAGAATAATAGAATAATGGAATTGAAAGGGGCCTCAAAGGCTATCAAGTCTAAAGCCCTACTCAATGCAGGAATCCAAATCAGATCATAACAGAAGATTTAAGACCAGCATACCTGAAAACTCCTACCACCACACAAGGTGTATCCAAACATGCCTCGTTTTGGAAATGCTCACCTGGCAGGAAGCAAAAGACCCTTCTCTGTAGTGATGCTCATGCTCTGGCACAACTCTGTCCCAGATACAAGATATATGCAAGCCTTGTTACAGTACATTTTTACATATGCTGAAAACTTTGTTTACCACAGCAATTTGGAGCTATTCCACTTTTAAGGTATCCTTCACAGGTTCAACAAGACAGTCCTGGGTTTTATTTACATACTGTATTTGATGTTTTAAATTTTTGACTGTTCTTACGCACTGTTGGGAATTGGTAACAAGGCTGGCAGCATGTACAGACTACTAAAAAGGAAAACAGATATGGCAGAAATTATATATGATTACCACTGCTTACCTTACAGTTAGTTAACATGGAAAACTGGGAGTGAGTCATTTAATATCAGATACTTCACACTTTGGTTAAAGCCAAGCTACCAAGAACCAGATCATAGGGAAAATCTTAAATACTTTATTTTTCCATGTATAAAACAACACTTATTAGTTAAATAATTAAAGAAAAAATTGAGGGTTGTTTACACAGAAGGCAGCTGCTTTCCCTGCCTTTTGCAAAGCCACAGGGTAAAGCAGCCGTGAAGGGACGGCATACTCGCACACTTACCATGAAAGGGCTTCAGGATCAAAGGGGTGCGACTGTGCCACCCTTTCACAGCTGCGTTAACTATTTCCTAAGCCCTGCAGAGCTTAGGAAGTGGGTAATGCAGCCATGAAAGGGCAGCAGAATCAAACCCCTTTGATCATGAAGCAGCCATGAAAGGGCTTCAGGAGCAAAGGGGTGCAATCATGCAAATTTTCAAATTTGGGGGTTAGAAAAGGGGGGTCATCTTATACATTGGGTCATCTTATAAACAGAAAAATATGGTACTCTCCCCTCTACCGCCAAAAGCTGGTGGATTCCATGCACAGGATTGCTCCATTGAAGTCACACTACACCTGAACACTTCTCTTTGGTTTCCTAAGCTACAATATTGTTTTATGGTGGGGTGCAGCCCCCAAAAAACTATCTTGCTTCCCTTGGATCCCCAAGATTTGCCCTTTCCCTGCCAAGAGAGATAGAAAGAAAAAGTGAGTGTAAAAGACAGTGCCTAGGTGCTTTCCACAGACCACAGAAACTCATTTTTCAGTGAGTCAAAGGGACTCCTGCAACCTTTTAGTTTTTCAAAATTGGAAGAGGATCTTGAAGGGCAGAAGACTGTTCCCTGTGGCTTATTTTCAGCTTCTGCAATTGAAGACAAGAGACTCTTTTTTGAAAAAGAAGATTTTTTTTATTTGTATGCCATCTGAACATCAGATATACCTGGTGTGTGTTAGCGTGAACCATTTGTACATTGGAAATTCATGGTGCCAAAACCCTCCCCCAAGACCAAAACAAAAAATAAAAACAAAAAACCCTCAGAACTTCTGGACTGGCTGAGACAGAGAGAAAGTTTAAAAAATGTACAGTGTAGGGAGGATAAAATAAGGAAATACGGCATGAGGAGAAAAAGATTCAGCCAGTTAAGATTCATGCGAATGCAAAAAATATTTTATGGTAAAGAGAAGCATTTTACCAAATTAAGTATGAAACTGAGGAGAAAGAAAGGAAACGGAGGGCAAGGGCAGTGATGCAGAAGGTTACACTACTCAGATGTTAACAACACCTTAAATATAACTTCATCATTCAAAGACATAATGCCAGAATCCACAGCACCCCGCCTCTGCCACACAAAAGCACCACCTTAAGGTGTCACTAGATTTGAAGACAGCTCATCTTAAAAGACCCACTACACGTTAAACCAGAGGAATGCCACCAAAAACAGGGTAACAATGGCAAGTTCTCCCGTACCCTGCTGAAATGTGTACAGCCAGTAACTTGTTTTACTGGAAGGCCTCTCTGAAAAGGTAGTGGAGTGGTGGCCACAATCACTTAACCTCCACAAGCCCTCAGAGTGGGCTGGCATGACATTCCATACCAACTGTGTCTTGTGTGCACACAAACACTTTGACTTGCCTTGAAGATAATGCTTTCTAGAGGTCAGATTTGGCACTGAGACTATGAGCTGCTGATCTAGTTTGAGTTCCTCACCCCCATTGCAATCTTTCCATCCCTGAACTACAAAACGAACAGGGGGTGGCGAGGAAGACCCCATTCTGCCTCACCACAAAGATGGGAAAAGAACTTGCCACAAGAATGCAGTTTTTGATGACTCCACCATGGTTGGGTGCAATGCACAGTCTTGCCCTCAACTAAGAAAAAAATCACCCATCTCATCCTGGTTGTTTATGTTGTGGCAAAGAGATTTAAAAAACAAACAAACCTGTGGGTGGCCAAAAACAGCCAGCCAGGTTTTTTGGGCTGGGGTGGGGGAAAGTGAACATTTGGAGAACAGAAGCTCAGTAATTATTCCAACAGAATATTTTGTAAATTTAAAAGGCAAGTACATTCTTGCCTTCAAAACGACAACAAAAATAAAAATAAAAACAGCATGCAGTACAGAGCCAGAAAACTGCAGAGCCACTGTTTAAAAGTGACGATGGCCATCTCTAGTCATTTTATGATCCAGAAAAACTTTCAGGCAGGCTCCTACATCTTAAGGCCTTAAAATTCAACAGAATGTTCTTAAGGTCAAGGGAGGCCTATAATATTTTAAACTGACTCTTTCATTTAAAGTTAGTTTGGGCTAGCAGACTCATCTCAACTGCCTTAAATCTCTGAGTTCTGAACCCAAAGTTAACATAGTCTGCAATTTCTAATTATCCACTTCTCAGGTGACAAAATTCCTACCCAGAATAAAATACTATTGCGGGAGCTGCGAAACAACCATACATACTTTTTTTTTTTGCTATTTGTGCAGATTGAGGTGCAGACAGCCATGACCTCCCAGTTCACATACTTGTGTACAATAACTTTATGCTACAGTGTACACGAAAAATATCTTCTCTGTAGGAATTTTGTTAATATATAAGCAGCCTATGGTGTCCAAGTTCCCACCATGACTTAAGTCCACTCCTTTGCTGCCCTCAAGAAAATGGGAAGCATGTTTGTTTGTTTACAGGTAGCATACACCTCTCTCCTTTTATTAGGATACTGCCACTGCTTCTTCCACCCCCCCACCCCACAACTTTTTTTAAACATTATTTCCCCATCCCAGTACAAAGTTCAGCAGGTAAAAGGTTATATGGAAACTGGAACACACAATTGTATAGACAAGATGGATCAGATGAGGAAGTCTTAAAATTTTCAAAGTGAGTAGAGCAAAAGGGGGGTGGGGAACATAAAACCCCCACCAGTCTTCTAGCCTTTTGTCCCGCCCCCCCCAAAGGTTTCACGCACCAATTTTCCAAAGCAATAGCCAACAGTTCCCAACCCTGCAGGAAGAAAAAAAAAAGAGGAATTCGGTCATTTAAATGAAGACCCCCTTGGAGGGATACAAAAATCTTTTACTGCCCTCATCAACGGCTGTAAGAGCTCCTCACCTATGTTAGCTTCTTGGCTTTGTTGTATAATGAATCCACTACTTTACTCATGTTTTGAATGGTCTCCAGAGCAGCTTCGTAAGTTTTGTCTACAGGCGGTTCATCAAAAATAATCAGGACACCTTCTCCTTGGTCAAGGATTCCTGAGAAAAGAGAAAAGTCTCAGTTGAACCTTTCAAGAAAAGAGCTAGTTGCTCTACTCTTGAGTTGAAAGTGTTTATTTCTAGCATCTACAGCAGCACAAGAGATGGATACAGAGGCTGCCAAGCTCAATCAGCAGAGCTCCCAAAGAGGCCAATGTTTTTAAGAGTGTAACAAGAAACCCCAAAGTATTTAACATAACCCATTTTATGCTGTTTCCCCCAAACGTCTAATTGGGCAAAATCCAAATCTTTCATTATCAGCATTTGTTTTTCCCCCCTAATAAATATTTTTATTTAATTTTTTCTCCTTTTCTATCTGTTGCAACCAGAGTGATTTAATACAACATGTTCCATTCATTTCATCTTGTCTTATACTCTCTAACATAATATTAATCTAATCTATTCTACTTAAATCGGTGTAGATTTCATCCAGGTATAAAGAGGTTCCCATTTATTATTATCCAGTCTATCATTTAGTATATCTGTCAAAATATCCATTTCTGCTAGTTCCAAAATCTTCCCAATAAATTTCTTTTTTGTTGGCACCTTTGTAGTCTTCCACTTGCTGGCATATACAATTCTAGCTGCAGTTATCAGGTCAAGTAAGTCTTGTGGTTTTTTTTTTTTCTCGAGTGTAGCTGGTAATATATTCAATAAGAAAATTTCTGGTGTCAAAGCAATTTTAACCCCTAAAATTTTCTCTATCACTTCATGAATCATTTTCCAAAAGTCTTTGGCCCTACTGCACATCCACCACATATGGCAGAAGCTCCCTACTTTCTTTTCACATTTCCAACACTTCTTAGAAACATTTATATACATTTTTGTTAATTTCTCTGTTGTTACATACCATCTGTAAAACTTTTATATATATTTTCTTTTAGATTTATAGATTTAGCCATTTTAATATTTCGTTCACAAATTTGTGACCAGGCAGTTCTATATTATGACCTATATTTTGAGCCCATTTTACCATGCACTCCTTCACAATTTCATCCTTTTTTGCTCCATTAAAGTATCATATAAACCTTTAATCAATTTTACCTCTGAGTCGAACAACCTCTTATCCAATGGTATTTTGTCTTTCTGAAACCCTGTAGTTTTATCTTTTACATATCTTGATTTAGACCAAGATATGTAAAAGATAAACATATGGAGTTTAGGTCATTTCTGCAAATCTACTTTGATTTCTTTCATTAATTCCATATAATTGTCCTTTATTAATGTACTTGGTTTTTTTGGTCATATTAATTCCTAAGTACCTAACCGTACATGTTTCTTGACATCTGGAGTGTTTTTGTAATTGTTCTTTTTCTTTTGTCATATTTTTCATCAGAATTTTTGTTTATTTATTCTAAGACCTGACATACATCCATATTCAGTTATTGTCTCTACTAATGTTTCTATTGACATCATAGGTTATTCTAAGACTATTACTAAATCATAAGCATAGGCTTAAATTTTGAAATCTTCTTTAACCTTTAAACCTTTCTCTTATCCTCTCTGATTTGTTGGTTCAGGACTTCCAAAATGAGAATAAACAGTAGGGGGGGACAGTTGGCATCCTTGCCTTGTGCTTTTCAATTTGAATTGTTTCTGTCATCTCTCCATTCACTTTGATTCTTGCTTCTTGTTTAGAATATATTGCTTTAATTTCTCCTATAAACTTCTCTCCAGCTTCCATTACTTGCAACTGTGTCAGCAAAAAATTCCAGTTTATATTGTCAAAGGCCATCTGTTATATTGTCAAAGGCCATTAATGCCATCTGTTTTTCAGGGTGGACTTCATAGTATTCCAAGACATTCAATACTATCCTGATATTGTTTTTCATTTGTCTTTTTGGTAAGAATCCTGATTGGTCCTGATGAATGATCTGCACCAAAACTTTTTTTCAATCTGTTTGCTAACATTGATGCAAACATTTTATAATCTACATTCAATAACAAAACTGGTCTATAGTTCTGGATTTCTGATTGAACTGTACCTTCTTTATGTATCACTGAAATTATTGCTTCTTTCCATGAAGTGGGAATTTCTTTTTCTACTTCTATTTCTTCTATTAATTCCTTAAAGGGTAAACCTAGAAATTCATCAAAATCCTTGTAATATTCAGCCGGTATCCCATCACTTCCTGGAGATTTATTGTTCTTTTGTTTTCTAATAGCTCCCACCACTTCACACGTTGTTACTGAGGAATTCAAGATCTCTTTATTTTCTTTAACTGAAACTTCTGTAGATATTCTCTTTGCTCTATTATTGATTTATATAGGGCTTGACAGAAATCCCTGACAATTTTTTTTGATTTCCTTCTGCTCCCATTTAGTCTCTCCTTCCTGGTCTTTAAGGTTTATAATTTGGTTTCTTGTTTGCTCTTTTCTCAGTCTATAAGCAAGCCATCTGCATGGGTTTTTTGCTTTTTCAAAGAAATTTTGTTTTGCTTTTTTTATCTTCATTGCCATTTCTGACATCCACCATAGATTTATTTGATGTTGTACTGATTTCATATTATCTACTAGTTTTTCAGTTGAGCTATTTTGTTTTGTCTATTGTTCTAACTGGAAGAATTTTTTTCTCTAATTCTTTGTATTTTTTCCTTCTTTTTGTTTTGCTGTATGCTTTATAACTATCACTCTTAGCTTTACTTTTCCTGCATCCCAGACTACTCTCATTGGTACATCTGGGGTTTTATTTTCCTTAAAGAACCAATACATTTTTTGCATCGCCTCTTTCTTAAAATCTTCATTTTGCAAAATAATAGTGTTCATTCCCCAGAACAATCTTTTATTTTGTATTTTCAGTTGTAAAATAACTGGACTATGATCAGCAAAAGTTCTTTGTAGTATATCTATAGTCTTCAGCACTTTTATTCAGCTTACTGGTATCCAGCATGCATCTATTCTAGACCATGTCTTATGAGAATTTGAGTAGAATGTATAATCTTTCTCTTTTATATGTGTTGCTCTCCATGCATCTACCAAATGTTTTTTAAGCTGATGATATATTTTTTCCATTTTCCAGATGCGTTCAATCCATTTACGTTAATAGAGATTAGTCTCAGCTGATTTTTACACATTTCCTGCTTGCTTACTACCTCTGTAGTCCTCCCTCTTCCTTGTAAATCTGGTCTGAATCTGTACTACTTCTTTAGTTTTTTTTGCCTCTTTGCTTTTCTCCTCTTCCTCCTCCTTGGATTCTTCTTTGCTTTCCTGGGCTATTTCTGAGTCTGCTAATTTCCTGCCTTCTGTTTTATCTTTCCTTTGAACTTCTTCCTCTTTTCTTTTATTCTCTTTTCTTCCTCCATATCTGACCAGGAAAGCCTCTGCTTTATGTGTAGTGTTTATATATTGCCGCTGACCTCACTATCAGCATTTGTTTATGCAGGCAAGAAGACTCACCATGGAATTTCTTGTCCAGGATCATCTGAGAGAGTTTTCGTTCCACATCTGCCTGTAATTGAAGCAGATTATCAACTTTACACTTAGCTTCTTCCTGATTTTGCCAGACTGACATTTCATTATTTTTTAAAAAAACATTGACTATAGAGTCAATAATATATGCATGATTTAACAGTCAAGGTTTAATAAATCACTCCTGTTTTTTCTTGTATGAAAAAAGTAATCTTGCCATGTGTTTTTCTTGGTTGAGAAGACCTGGTTTTTCAATGTAAAAATATATAAATCTCAACACAGCCATATTCATAATCTATTATGCTCCGTATAGAGCCATTTTTGCTCCTAGAAACACAACTAACAGTTAGTTTATGCTGTATGCTCAAATAAATAGCTGTTAAAGTTTAATAAAACCCTTAATGCAATTAACTTTTGTTCTAGTCTTTCCTGCATATGAAAACAGAACTATGTAGATCTATTTTTGGAAAAAAAAAACAGGCCTACTCCTAAATCAATTTGCTTTTCAAAACTTAATGGAATTAGACCTCTCTTCACAGGTGCTCCTCTCTATAACCAATGCACTCTACACCATTCATATAACTGAATTCAGACTCTTACCTTTGACAACTTGATAAGGCCAGATATGTGTTCAATCTGTAAAAAGAATTGAGACATAGGTACCAATATGGTGGAAAAGCAAACATGAACAGTTTTTATTTTTCAAATGTTAACTAAGGAGGGGAACAGAATGCAACAATTGTGTAAAACTCTACTTTTTTGGCCCACATTAATTTCATTCATTTTAACTTTTTAACAATTTATCCAACTGCTTGCTTCCAACATCCTCCTGAATTTCTTATATGTTCCCACGTCGTTGTTTAGTCGTGTCCGACTCTTCATGACCCCATGGACCAGAGCACGCCAGGCCCTCCTGTCTTCCACTGCTTCCCGGAGTTGTGTCAAATTCATTTTGGTTGCTTCAATGACACTGTCCAACCATCTCATCCTCTGTCGTCCCCTTCTCCTCTTGCCCTCACACTTTCCTAACATCAGGGTCTTTTCTAGGGAGTCTTTTCTTCTCATGAGATGGCCAAAGTATCGGAGCCTCAGCTTCAGGATCTGTCCTTCCAGTGAGCACTCAGGGTTGATTTCCTTTAAAATTGATAGGTTTGTTCTCCTTGCAGTCCAGGGGACTCTCCAGAGCCTCCTCCAACACCACAATTCAAAAGCATCAGTTCTTCGGCAGTCAGTCTTCTTTGTGGTCCAGCTCTCACTTCCACACATCACTATAGGGAAAACCATAGCTTTGACTATGCGGGCTTTTGTTGGCAAGGTAATGTCTCTGCTTTTTAAGATACTGTCAAGGTTCGTCATCGCTTTCCTCCCAAGAAGCAGGCGTCTTTTAATTTCATGGCTGCTGTCTCCATCTGCAGTGATCATGGAGGCCAAGAAAGTAAAATCTGTCACTGTTTCCATATCTTCCCCTTCTGTTTCCCAGGAGGAGATGGGACCAGTGGCCATGATCTTAGTTTTTTTTTTTATGTTGAGCTTCAGATATGTTCCCACAATGCCACACAAAAAATACGCTATAATTAGGGCATGCAGTCACTCACAGTATTAGCCTAAAATTAATTGGTTTAATAATAGGAAACACAGATCAAGATCCTCAGCTCACGCCCAGCCTAACTGCCTACCAGGACTTATTTACAGAGGGGCCCAGTCCAATCTCATATCATCCAGTCATGCTGGGTTAGTTCCCGGATCAGAATCTTCCCATCCTTCCTTCTGCCATGGAAGTCCAGCTATCCTATTCCTAGCCCTAACCAACTGTAAAAATATTTTAACACAACTAAGACAAAATGGTTTATAACCACTTAATCACCAAGGCCCAAGGTTTGGATGGGGCAGCATGCTGCAAGCTTTAAATCCTTTATTAGAAAAAAAAACCCACACAGACAAGTACCAAAATCATCATGAGATGGAAAAATGAGACAGGACGCTCTGGAACAGTTTCTTACCTGAACTCTGGAGAAAGGCTCAATGACTCGGATCAGGTTTTGTTCCAATAAGTTATCATACAGTTTGCCCAAATGGGTGTTGATGATAGGGTCATCCCTGAGTTCCACTTTATAATCTTTCAGAGCCTATGGAAAATTGGCTTAAGTCAGGAATGACTGCAGAAGATATGTCAGAAATGGCAGCCCAAAGACCCAAAAGCTACCTAATGTGACCTCCCAACCATGTATTTATGTTACTTGGTGCTTTTTATATGCTAAAAAAATCTAAGAGAAAATCTAAGAGAGAAAACATATACTGGCCAGAATTCTTTTGTGAATTCATAGTGGTTTAAGTGTAACTGCATAAACTGTGGTGGTGAACTGCCCTTTCTAATGGGTTGCTGTAAACATGACCTATCATGTTTTGTCCTACTTATTTAAATTCTACTGCCTATTTAGCTTATTCATAGAGTGAGAAGAAAACAAACCTTTCCAACAGAAGTGCATTGTAACAAACAGTCTGTGAATCTAAGCTTTCATTTAAGATCATACTTCTCTCTCTCTGTTAAACGGACTAGAATTCTTGAAAATAAACTCTTAAGCATGTGACAAATGGGAAGGAGCGAGGAAGCATGTAGAATTCCAGCCCCTTAGCATTTTCTCAACAGCAACTCCCAACCTGAAAGTGAGTTTTAACGTTCTACAAAACCCCAAGTCAAGTTGAAAAGTTGGGTGTGAAATGTGCACACAATGCCCAGGGGAAGGAAAGACTTAAATATGACAGGTCCATTCCCAACAAGGGAAATCGCAGCCTCTCTCATCTTTTTGTTCTACTATAAACTTTCTGGTTTGCTTCTGATCAAGCCAGTTGCTGAAATTCTGTTGTTTAGCATAGTAAAACTGCATTGGAACAGGCCTACTGAATCAGTTAGGATCTGGTGAGTCGACTCCTCTGTAAGTACCACCAATTCAAAGAGGTCTACTCTAGTTATGACCTACGATGTCAGTCACAACTAAAGCAGGCCCATCTGAATCAACTACCTTACCAAATCCCACTCAAGTAGGCCCACTCTAGTGACTTGCTACATTAAGCAACAGGATTTCAGTCAGTGAGTGTGCAGGATATATCACCTCCATAATAACTGTGCTTTCATTTAACACAAAGTCTAGCATATCTGTACTCTCCCAATTGCCAAATAAGCAGACATCATGCAGAAAAGGTTGGAATGCTAAAGACACCCTCTGAACAGCTCTTTCTGATATGCTAAATTAACATGGTCAATATTCTCCATTTAATTCTTTACTGGTGAGATCACAACTCAACTTGGCTCGTACTTGGCACAGTAGTGGCCAGGCAGATCTACCGTATTTGCCGGCGTATAAGATTACTTTTTTGGCCCAAAAAACATGCCTCCAAGTGGGGGGGTCGTCTTATACGCCGGGTGCACTTCAGGCCAGGAAGGAGCCGCCGCCGCCGTTGAGTGAGTGACGCGGGGCCACGCCGGCGGGGAGGAAGGCAGGCAGGCAAGCAGGCAGGCAGGCGGTCCGGACGGAGGGAAGCAGAGCCTACCATGCCTGAGTGGCCAGAGCCCGCTGCTGGGCTGCCCACCGCCCCGCACCGCTGAGCCAGCTCCCTGCTTGCCGCCGGAGAGCTTCCCCTCCTCCTCTGCTCCTCCTCGGGCCTCGTCGCCAGCTGAGCCAGCTGCCTGCTCGCCCACCCGCCACCAGAGAGCTTCCCCTTCTCCTTCTCCGCTCCTGTCACCCACCCGGCCGCTTCCCCTCCTCCTCGGGCCTCGTCGCCGGCTGAGCCAGCTGCCCGCTCGCCCGCTGGAGAGCTTCCCCTCCTCCTGCTCCTCCTCTGCTGTTTCCCATCCTCCTCGGGCCTCGCCGTTGGCGCCGCAGCAGAGCCGTCCACTCAATATTTTGAGTGGAAATGTTGGGGGGTGGGGTCGTCTTATACACCCGGTCATCTTGTATGCTAGCAAATACGGTACTTTAAAAACAAGACCACAGTGATGCCTTCTTTCCTCCCATAAAAACAGAGGCCCATTGCACCACAGTGTGAAAGTGTCATTTCTTGGGCCTATAAATTCGTACAAGCTAAGAAAACCAGCCTATTTCCCTCTTATGGTTGCTCACCTTTTTGAAGTCATCCAGTGATCGATTTTTACTAGCTTGTGCCACACATTTTAGTGCTTCTGTCTGCAATAGAGAACAGAATTAGTATTCAGCATTGCATGATGTACAGGTTGTGTTTGTAACATTCATATATGAGAAAAATGCCTGAGGTGGCCAGATGAAAATTCAGAAAGGATACTTGGCATAAATGCTAAGGGCTGTTTGAACTTCCTCTGTATTTAAGCACATCAGCTGTTAAATATGAGAAATTAAAAATTAGTAAGTCATCATGACAGTAGTCGTCCAACTTGGACAACAGAAGACTACCAGTCTGTAAATTTGTAGCATATGAAATTGTCCAAACAGTCCTGCAAGGCTGGTAAACTCTCTGTAGGAAACCAGAAGTAATATCTAGATTTGAAAGATTCTTCTACAACACAAAAAGGTACCCTAGTTTTTGATACCTGTCTGCCTGCATACCGCAGTGCAAGCTTCCCGCTGACCAATGCCTGCACATCCTCAGGCCTGGAATGACAGAATATATAAAAATACAAAAAAACATTAATTTATCGTATCTCTAATATAGACCAGCAATAAAAGCCTTCTGCAAAGCTCTATATCCCATTATGAAATATTTTTACAAGTTTCCTGAAAGTAGCAGATTGAATACAAACTGTAGATAACAAAGCAAGAGAACAAATGCAAAAGTCTCAGAACACCACTTATTACCTAGCTTGGAGATGTGCAAATAGAGTGACCTTTACACAAGCAATCAGTATAAGACACCTTTGAGTCATACAGAAAAAAAAGAAAGCCTTCAAAGTGAAACAGCTTTCATCAAGCTCTTATGTCAAGAACAAAGTGACAGCACTTACAAAAAACACTTGTACTGGCATGTCTATTGTTCCTGGAAGAGATTCAGAAAGAAGTTTTTTGCTTTCCCTCAGCTACCTGAACCTTCAGTTAAACACAATATAGACTCAAGAATGTGCCCGTACCCTTGTCACCCTGAAGAGATACAAGATGCTAACTGTGAGGCAATGTGCTTAACACCCACTCAGTTAAAAAACAGGGAACTCAGAATTCAGTGGGTTTTCCATGCTCCCAAAGATTTGCTTCCTTTCAAAGGAAGGAAAATGCTGGCTAGTCTTAATGAAGTCAGAACAGAGTTTAAGGAAATAGAAATAGAAGAGACCAATTTCATTCACTGGTAACACAATTCAAATACCTAAAAGAGACGCAAATAAGGGTTACAAGCATCTGAGGGGAAAGCCAAGTATTCTGCTTGTCTATTTTCATGCTAGGACCTTTAATCCACTACTTGCACCAACTGGTCTCTCTTCAACAGTCACCAGCACTTGCAACTCAACTATGCTACACAAATACTCTCACGATTCATCTCCCACTGCAAGAGGTACCCTGAGACTCCTGACCACAATGATTGCCCTGTAGAAAGGGGGCAGAAAGGAGGAGCTTTTGCATTCCTTTTGTAATAAAGTTAAGCCACATACAAGTTCAGCATGATCTTGCACAGCAGCATATACTTCAACGCTGTGATAGCTTTGGGGTTGTCGATGGAATCGTAACCCTCAAATGCCTCATAAAAATAGGAATATGCTGTCTTCCAGTCCTTTTCTTCTGCTGCATGGATGATGCCTATTAAAAGACAACAGAAGGGGGGAGGGGAAAAACCAAGCCAAAGTTAGACCACTGCTAAATGAAGTGAAAAACAAGGGAAGGGCAAATGCAGTTGCAAAGACGTACTCATCAGTCAACAAAGGAAGAGAGTACCTTGAACTGACATTTCCTCTGTCTCAACTTCTGCGAATGAAATAAATTCTAAGACATTTATCCAATCACATAGAATCACAAAATAAATGAATTGGAAAGGCCTACAAGGCCATCAAGTCCAACCCTCTGCTTAATGCAGGAATCCAAAGCAGATCTGACAGGACTATCTAATTTTTTCTTGAATTCCTCCAGGGCTCACCACCTTCCTGAGGTAATTGGTTCAACTGTTGTACTGGTCTAATAGTTAAGGTTTTCCTCAAACTCAGTCAAAATCTGGTTTCCTGTAGTCTAAAAACCCATTATTACATATCCTGCACTCTAGGATAATCAATAACAGATCAAGTATTTGAAGAGTGCTATCATATCTCCCCTCAGTCTTCTTTTCTCAAGGCTAAACATGCACAGTTCTTTCAGTTATTCCTCATAGGGCTTGGTTTCCCATCCCCAATCATCCTTGTTGCCCTCCTCTGAACTTGTTCCAATTTTTGGGAATCCTTCTTGAAGTGCGGTGTTCAGAACTGGACCCAATGCTCTTGTTGAGTCTAATGAGTGCTTAACAGAGGGAGGCTAGTACCTCATGGGAGTTGGAAAGTATATTTCTGTTAATGGATCTTAAAATTGCATTTGCCTTTTCTGCAGCTACTAGAAAACTGCAAGTATGTACTATTGGCTCATAATCAGCTTTTGATATACTGTACAACATATCACACCAACTACTCCTACGAAACCCTTATAATCTGCAGTCATATAAGCTAGTTCTGCTTTCCTGTGCATACCTTTGTTCCAATATTTGACACATTTACGGAAACTGTTAGTGAAACAAACTAAATGGAAGAGAAAAAGCAAAGTTGTGCCAACCAAAAAGGACTGGCCACAGAAACAAGGAAAGACCAAGCTTTGCTTGGTAGCTGTAATTAGATATGACACAACTATCACCAGCATGACATACCTGATTGCATATCCAGTGCTGCCTGCAACTTGGGTGGGCAGTAGATTGCATTGGCTGTGGTCCGTGCAGAGGTTAATGCTGCTCTTGCTTTTGGCAGGTTGCTCAATGCATGGTAAGTCTTGCTCTCTAGCAGCTGCACTTCCACTAACAGGGCTTTGTCGTCCATCTTCTTCAACTCCCTTAAAAGCTGCGAGCCTGACAAAAGCCATACAGTGGAGCTAGCAGTGTGGAAAAAATCCCTCTTTACCAATGGCCCAAGGCCTTCCTCTGGACTTTCATACATTTAACCCTGAAGTTGCAATTCAATAGAACATATGTAATCAGTGCAGAAAACCAGTGCAATCTAAGTGAAACACTAAGTTTAAATTCTCAGTCTACCTTGAAGTGTCCAATGCAAAATGATCCTAGGGAATTAAAACAAGGCTAGAACACTATGCTCGGACCCTTAAGAGTAACTGTCAGGCAGATATTCAGGCAACATATAGGCCAGAATCATAAGGGGGATTTTTGCAGACCCAAGTGTAATCATGCGAACTGTGAAAATGAATTGCTGCTAAGAAGTTGCTCCTTCTATTTCTGCAACTTTGCAAACCTAAGCTTGTGTTTCCATTTTCTCTCTAGAGAGAAGTTTTCTCCTGGCAAACCTTCCAAACAAACCATATTTCTTCAGTCTTTTTCTAATTCTACTGTCATGAACATTAAAATTTAACATGCTGAGGTCTATAGAGTCTGAAATGTAACTCCTGTATTCTCTGCAATTTCTCTGAGCATTGCACAGTCTGACCTTGGAGTGAATTTGCTTGGACGTCCACACCTGGGAATATTGACAACTATCTTGAATATTTTCCACTTGCAAATAATCTTCCTCACTGTAGAATGATGGACTTTAAATTGTTTGGAAATGGCCTTATAACCCTCCAAAGACTGATGGGCAGGAACAACTGCTTCTCAACATGTTTCCTCCTGGGCATCACACATCTGAATGCTCCTGACCAGGAATCTGCTAAAACTTCAGCTTTTATAGAGGTGGTCACATTTGCTGATGATCAATTACTCAAGGGCATCTGGTTAGCAGCACCTGATTGCTATTTACTCTCAATTCCTATGGAAGCAATAAGGATGTACTTAGTTTTTCACACATGGCTTCTCCATTTTGCCTTTTTTTTTGTAAAATAAATCAAGACATGGTAGAATACTACACTAGATCTTAGCCAAAAGACTGAGAAGCAGTATGTTATGTGTTGTTGTTCATCTGAGGTTGAATTTACCTAATTTTCAGACCTGCTGAGGACCAGATGATTTTTATTATGTCATGATATGTAAAACCATAGAATTCAAAGAGGGTGCACTTTCTCACCTTCTTTTTCACATGACTATGCTTCTCACTTTTCTCAATGCTAATACGACACAAACATGAAGTCATGACCAGTCTTGACAATTAATCCATTAGGTATGCCTAGCTTATCAGACAATGTGATTTCTGATCATTACAAACTTTAGACTAGATATGTGTAGAACTGAGCACAGATCTCAGTCACTTTACCTTAAGGAATTATGGTCACTATGGTTTTTAGAACTAAACCTAGAATCTGACAGGTTACTATAGTCACACTTTCTGGAAATGGCAGACAGGTTTTTTTTCTGATGAAGTACCAGCTCTTTCAGAAGCCTCCTGCAATTATCTGATAAATCTCAGATTGAATATTGCCATTTATTTTAGTCAGTTCCTGTAATTGATGTTTGAGAAGCTGCGACACAATCTGTTCTGAACTTCAAAATACAGCACTTACAGCAATATGAAAGTTTTGTTTATGGAACAATAAAATCCACTCACACAGCATACTTCTGTGAACCATGTATCTAAGATCCACATGAGTGAACAATAAGCAGTTTTATTCCTTCTAACCAATATGAAGTCAGTAGCACAGACATCAGGTTGTACTAAGCTAGTAACTTACCTAACTGCAATGCTTCCTGGTACCTTTTAGTGTCAAAATATAAAGATACCAGCCTTGCCTAAAAGAGAAAAAGGGTAAAGAATAAAGACAACTCAGTGAATGCATGGTATTTGCATGAGATTCATAAGACAAAGCTGTTCCTAGATATTAGTTTCAGTCAGGCAAGACAATGCAGAGGCAAGTTAGCAAACAGAATGCATGGTGCTAAATAAAGGGAGCTACATAACAAATACTGAGTTTTAAAGGGAAGCTGTTCCCAACAAAGAGAGCGGAACACCAGCACATAAACATGACCAAAGACATGGAGCAGGAGCCATAGATCACCTTGAGGGAAGAGCAAGGGGGGAAAAAGGAGTATGACATTTATGTAACACAAAATTCTTTACAGCTTTCTGCATTAACTAGAATGGATTATCTCCACTTTCCTAATGGAGGGATGTGAAGCCTGGTGGATACAATAACCTCATGAAACTAAAAACCATGCACTAAAAATCATGAAAAATCCTACGGAAATAAATGTGTTACTTCGAAAGGTACCATAATATTTAATTTTTTAAAATACACATAAGAGATGGTTGCCTTCATAAAGCCCCAAATACAGTGATGCCTCACTTAACGATTGCCCCACATTACGACAAAATCGCTGTACGACAATCTTTTTGTGATCGCAGTTGCCATCGCAAAACGATGGTCTAAATAGGGTTTTTTCACTTTGAGATGATCTGTTCCCTGCTTTGCGAACCGATTCTTCGTAAAACGATTTTTTTAAAACAGCTGATCGGCGGTTTCAAAATGGCCGCTGGGTGCTTAAAATGGCTCTGCGCTGTGTTTAGGGACGGATTCCTCGCTATACAGGCAGCGAAAATGGCCGCCATATGGAGGATCTTCGCTGGACAGTGAGTTTTTACCCCATTGGAACGCACTGAACGGGCTTCAATGTGTTTCAATGGGATTTTTAATTTCGTTTTACGATGTTTTCGCTTAATGGCGATTCTCCTGGAACGGATTATCGTCATTAAGCGAGGCACCACTGTATCAGTACAGGAATGGCTTACCACTAATTCCTGTTTGAAAAAACAAAGAATGTACCACCAATAACCTCAACATACAATGCAGTGGAATCTGAAAAGAGCATTCAGGTATAGTGCATTGGCAGGCAGGAGAGCTGATTTCTAAACCCACTTAACATGTCTAGTGCATGGACTTCATACATAAGCCATATGCCATATCCCACCTCCAGAGCTTGGCGTAGGAATGTCCTCTTCTCTGATTTGGCCCATTCAATGCATTCAAGACACAGATCAACCTGGAAGAAGAAGAAAACTACATTCATTGTTTCTTTTGGTACTTGCATCATCACCACTACTCTGAGGTCATCTGCATGAATTACTGAATACTTTACAATGAATTTCAAGCAGTCAGAACAGCACACTTGAGAAGTTGCTACAAACACTATGTTTTGTAATAGGCAGGCTTATGTTGGAATTTCAGTTGACTCACCTCTTGTCCTGTTGCTGCTTCCATATCTAGGAACAGGTCTAGAAGAGATCTAACCAGGCGGGCTGCCTTTGCTTTGCTGATAGAATTCAAGAAAGGTCGCACATACTTCAGAAGACCTCCAAGTTCTATATTAAAAATAAAGTTTTATTTAAAAGAAAGCATTCTCTTCCCTCAGCAAGTTTTCTATTTCCTCCATTTTAAAAATGATTTTCTAACCACCATACCACCACCAACATCTGAGCTGTCCTACTGTGAAGCACATGGCTTGCAAATTATCACAGTGGCTAAGAATTAACCCAAGGACTTTTAATTATTTATTTAAAGAAGTTTGAGTGGTAACTGCAATTCTTTCAGGGTATTGATATGTTTTAAATTACCACTGTATGCAATGTTCCATCTGTTTTTCCAAAGAGCAGGGCAGGGACCTTGCTCTGTGTACACGGGGCTCCAGCCATGACTGGAAACAAATGGGTATCAACAACAGCGTGGCTGCGCAGCCCTGGTGCAGCACTGTACGGCCTCACAGCTTAAAGAGAATGTGGACCATATGGATGCTTGGGAAGGTGAACTAGACTTTTGTGGAGCAATAATCTTCTCTGAATTGTAAGAATGTAAAACCCAATAAAAGTATCATAATTAACATAAAAAGTAACAGCAGCAGATGTTAAAAATGACATTGAGCTGCTCACCCCAAAATCTTACAACACAAAAATATGCACACAGTCTAAGAACAAGAAGAAATGTCTAGATTCAATGGGCCTACTTTAGTTGTGACTTGCTATGCTAAGCAATAGGATTTCAGCCAATGGGTTCCAGCAGAAAGACATGTGACAGGAATAAAAGCTGCCCTTATTGAACTTGGACAAGACAATTCAGGCTACTTTATGCCATGAGCAAACAGAAATGCCATCATCAAAAAGTACCTGCTGAACATATAGCTCTGGATCAATAAACATAGCCTGGCTATCTCCACTCCTTCTGCAAACGTCTTTCCTTGTGGCACTGATGATATGGGAGTGGCAGATGAACAGATGGACATACTACATTGGATTGGGAACACTGTGGAAGGGATAAGGGTTTGAATTACATTACTTTTTGGCTGAAATTCCAGGAGTGGGAGGAAATCTGATATCCTATTCTAGAAATCAGGAGTATAGCATTACATCACACTTCTGATGTTTTGTTTAGAAAAGTGGCTAGAGGTGCAGTCTCATATTACTTTAAACACAGGACTTACCTTCTGCTTGTCCCGTCTTGGCCAGGAGATTACCCAGTTCCAGGATGCTCTGCTCCTTGACTTGTACTGCTTCTTCATCATTCTCCTGGACATCACGCTTCACTAGAAGGAAAAATGTATTGCCAGAGGAAACAAGCCTCTATCAAATCAATGATTACATATTCCTATCCTGCTCCTCCATTCTAAAACTAATTCATTCTTTTGTGGGTAAGTAGTACACACAAAGGATTATAATATGCAATTTTGGATAAAAAAGAATTCAGTGCCATAAGACAGCTCAGAAAAAAAGAATACTACATTTATAAGAAGTATGATATCATCCAACCTATTTGGCATAATGTTATCATAGCAGCTGCATGAGCATTTTCAATTACGAAATGAATCTCCTCCATGTTACAGCGTGTCATCAGATACTGTAAATAATACACTGCATTCAAAGTTCTCCAGCACTAAGAGGAGTTGGCACAATCCTAGTTTTAGTACACTTGCATGAATGGACAGATACAAAACCCACTGCTATTCAACAAAGGCAATACACCTGCATCCTAGGGTATTGTGATGTTCAGCAACCAATACTTAGGAAACTAAGGAAGCAAACTGTCTTTCTTTCTTTCATGCATGGAGGACTAACTTCAGCAATACTGATGGCTTGTTCCACAGAATTTTCATAAATGGGCCCACACCCTCATTGCAATCTCCTACATTATTTGCATGTTAAAATGCATGCTGGCAAGACCAATGGATCCTAATAGATCTCTCATTTAATCTTAAGTCAAGTGACAGTGGAACTTATACCAGAAGTGCCACCTGAAATAGGTATACACTCAAGATCAGAAGTCCAGTCTAGACTGTAATGGAAAGAAACATAGTCATGAGGGTGGCCTAAGGTATGTTTGAGATCATTCTAAGCAAAACAGAACAGTTTTCTACAGCAACAGTGAACTGAAACAAACACCTTCCCCCCAAAGATGATTTTCAAGGACAAATTAACATCTGTCAGACTTTGTCAGCCTGAATTTACAGCTGTCAAACTAACTAAGATAGACCACTATTAATTTTTTTGTTTAAAGCATGCTCTTAACTGAGGGCTCCACCCAGAGCTACAGAATCAGGGAAGCTTGTATATGTAAAACACCAAGCTCACACAAATGACATCTTCTAATACAGGTGGTATTTTAAGGCTAATTTTGAGGAATAGTATCTAATGTCTCTGTTTCACATACAGAAAACTGGTTTAAGTCCAGGACAAAGAGAAGGCAAGATGTTTCGAAAGGTAAGGAGGTGGAAGGAAAAAAAAGGACTTGCAAAGGGCTGGTGTGAATATAGTCACCCTCAGGTTTCCCAGCAATATAACCCCAACATGGAAAGAGCATTCTTGCTTTCTCACTCATTGCCCTTTTAAGAATCTTCTCAAGTTCTAGGGCACTCTAACAAACAAGAAAAGCACTTGGCTGTGTGTAAACAAGGATACAATGTAAACAGATGAATCTGTGCCCCCCCTTTAAATGTGCCATGCCCCCCATTAAGAATAGCTGTTCAAAACCACTAACATTCTAGACACTTAGAACACTCCTGATTCTATTCATAGCTTGGTTCTTTGTGTGAGGTATGCTAAAAAAGATGACAGATTCTTAGTTGCTATGAGCATACACAACTTAAGACTACAGTATTTGACAGAGAATTACATTGCTTATTATTTCCTTAATGAGAAACCTGCCTCCCTAGTGTGTTTTGAAATTTCGATTGCATTATTTTATTTGACCAATTCAGCTATTATTTAAGCAAAGCTGTGCTAGACTGAACTAGTATCTCATTTTTGCCAATGACCATAAGATGCCTCTGTGAAGCCCACAATCAGACCATAAGACAAGAGCCCTCTCTTCCACTGATATTTTCAGGAGCTGGCATTCAATCAGGCACCACTGCTGACCTGGCAGGTTGTATAGTTATGCTGACTAGCAGATACTGATATATGTATCTTCATTAGTTTGTCTGACACATTTCAAAAGCCATAATAACAACCTAAGTATATGCACCTAACTCTTACAAACCATGAACAGCTACTATGGAAGGGTGCAGGTATGTACCAGTTCACAGATATCACCACTTAGCAGCTTTAACAGCAAACATCGAACAGCAGCCTCCCCAGCAGAAACCTGCCAAACACATCCTATAGGTCAGTGGTCCCCAACCTTGGGCCTCCAGATGTTCTTGGACTACAACTCCCAGAAGCCTTTACCAACGCCTCTGCTGGCCAGGATTTCTGGGAGTTGAAGTCCAAGAACATCTGGAGGCCCAGGGTTGGGGACCACTGCTATAGGTGACCTACCAACAAATTCACTGTATAATCACTCTGTATCCCCATTAAAAAAAATTAATCTGTTTTACCATCAACTATTACCCAGTGCACCACCTCCACTTTTCACATCAGTGTTTACTTGGACCTACCCTCTCATCCATTCAGCTTCCATTTGATAATTCATCACCACCACATCCCATCAAAAACCACTCCTTCCTGACACAGGACATCTCCTCCTCCTCCTCCTTTGTTTTCACAAAGTTTGATCTGTTAGGAAGACAGTGAATCCACCAGGAGGTATCACCTGTCACAATTCATACAATCTGAGTAAGATCCATAGGATCCCTTCCAGTTCTAAGATTATTATTAAGTATTTTATGACATGTGAGTTTTATCATATGTTGATATCTATATCAGAGCTACTGTGGTTTAGTAGACAGTGTCAGACTAGGTTAATTAAGTAAGACCTGGCTCAGCACCACTGAAACTCATTGGAGGGTGTCAAAGCTAAACTATTCTATGAATATCTCACATTCCTCAAAAACCCTGTTACAGCCACTGTTAAGTCTGAAATGACTTGACAGCATATCACAACAGCTTACCTGCACATAAAGACACTGCTTTAAAATTCGAAGAGGAGCCAGTAAAGCCCTGATAAATTACTGTAAGGGCACTTCTCTCAAACTCCTCCAGCCCTCTCACACACTTTTACTATGGCTTGAGTTTGCTCCGCAACAAATGCATAACCAAAGAGTAGCTTAAAGAAAGAAAGAAAAAACTAAGTCCTCCTGTCCTTGATTTACCCCGCTCAGCATGCACTGAGATAAACTTCCTAGCCTACACATGATCTTTGGAGTCGGCTCCATCTCTCCCTGCTCTGGCAAACTTGAGACACGCTTCTAGGTTTTTAGCCAGGACTTGGAAATCTGGGAGATAGGAAATGAACCTGAAGAACAGCAATTACTTTAGGAAAAAATAGCACCAATCCTGTCACAGAGAATAGTTTTCCTAAGACAAGACTTGAATGGCGAGAAAAGGAAAATCGGATATAGCTTTTCAGGAACTCCTTCCTATTCAACTCAAACTACTCACCTCCACCCTTTGACCACAGCATTCCTCCCCTCTGACACGGCACAAAAAAGAAGACCCTGGCGTTCCTTGTCAATACAGGCCCTCCTTCAGTCCGGTCCCTAACACTTGCCCGTTATTTTTCCAGCCAGCCGTCCTTTCCCTATGTCAACGGAGAGACGAGAAGAAGGACCCCCCTCCCCACACCCTCAGCCTACTGCCTCTCAGCCTCCCAAACCCCCTCGCTCATTAGCAACCGCTTCCCATTCGGAGTTGTTCACAGTGAGTCAGCAGCAGCCCCAGTACGGCTCGCCCAGGCCACCCGCCAATCCCCTTCCCCCTTCCAGCAGCCGGGCTCGCGGCCTGCCGGCCTGCCTGCTTCCTGCTCTCCGGCGGGCCCACCTCACCTATAGAGTGCAGGATGCCGATGGAAGCCTCCCGGTCGGTGCTCAACAAAGACTGGGCGCGCTGGAACTCCAAGCCCGCCGCAGCCGCCATCTTAACAAACCAAACTCGCTCACTCACGCCGGCCGGAACCACAGGGCCTCACTTCCACCGGAAGCCGCTCGCCGCACCGCCTTCCCTTCTCGCTTCCGCCGAGTCAAGCGCTAGAGAAACACGAGGGTGATTTTTGTCTCTATGGTCAAGCGATCGGCTGTTGCATGAAGGGACAGTGTTACCTGGGAAATGTAGTCTTTTGTATAGGCAAAGAGCGGACTGTGATTGGGTTGCTGTTGCTAGGATACTATAAAAGGCGGGGCTTGTGCTTGCTGTGTACTGTACGCTTGACTACAGTACGTTTCGCCAAAGCTGTAGCGGCTTGGTTTGAGCGGTGTAGTAGTTGTGCAGTACATTTCAAGTCCCCCCCCAGTATCTTTTAAATATATGTACGTAGCTAATTATGTGTGAGAGAAGGGTTTTCGCTGCTGTGAATTGCCTCGGCACCTAGAGTAAGAAGGGTGGATTAAGATACTTCACAATTCAGGTCAGACTCGCATTTTAGCTGGTGTTTTATTTATTTTTTATTTTTTTGCGAGTCAATTAAAATCCCATTCATTGCGATGCCATTTAAAGGTTTTCAGGGATTGTTGCACTAATACAACGAGGGCGAAACCACTGTTCCTGGAAATACAGTATCTGTTCTCTTGAGAGCAAAAACACTCTGGAAAGTAAATGTGTTGATTAGATCAGGACAGGGTAGTAAACTCAACCGAAGGCCTCAGAATTAGGCCAATTTTGCTACATTCAGATAAAGGCCATTACAATTTTCTAGGTAGGAATTTATTAAAAATAAATAAAATTTTTGCAATACAATTGTGAAGGTTCAGTGGTTAGCTCCTTCTCTGATTCAAATAAAGCACCAGTTCTCTTGTTTTTTGAAATGGGTGACATTTCTTGGGTTGTTTAACAAGAGTACCGGGTAGGTGGGGCTCCTCAGCCTTGGAAGGCAGCCCATTTAGGAGAAGAAAAACTCCGATTTCAAACCTCCACTGCCTTGTGGTTATATCCACTGATGGAAAAGGCTTCAGGCGTTAACCTCGAGCAAAATCCGGAGCTGGAGTCCCAGAGGCAGTTCGTGTCATTCTGGCAACTCCTGCGACGTTGCTGGAGCCAGTTGTATTGGCTCTTGCTTTCCATTGGACTATTTCAGCGACGTGGAGAGGGGGGATTTGCTGGTTGGGTAACAGACTGTCCTCCATATTATTCTACCCAGGCTTGGGGCTCTGGAGAGGACACTCATACAGAGCACATTACTGTACCATGGTCTTTCGAGACTGAAGGATGCCTAAGAAAAATTAACAAGAGTCCAGTGTCCACAAATGTATTCCATTCTCCCCCTTAGACAACAGGTTTCCATTCTTCTAACTTAAAAGGATTTCCACTCTGGTCATTCCAAGGACCTCGCCACTCAAGAGGAGTGTCAAGGGCTAATACCAATCCCCTTTCTCCTTTCAACAAGGGGATGGTGTCCTCATCTCGATGGTCCACCCAGCCATGCTCCCCCATCTGTCACAGGGTTCCAAGAATCCCCTCTGTTGGGTCTCCCAGATCCCCCATTCAAGTCTCCCCCACCATTCTCCACCCTTTCCTTCTCCTCCCTTAATCTCCTCCACCGCTCCTTTGTTTCTCTCTCACCCCAGTAAGATGGTTTGGGGTTCAGTTCTCTCCTCCTCCATGCATCTGCCTCTTCCTTAGAGACCCTCAGCTTTTCCGTCCTTCCTGTCCAGGGGTCTTCCACCCAAATCCATTCCTCGCCTTCTGGCAACCCCCCTCCATCCTTCCTTATATCCCTTAACCCCATCTCCACCACCTCCCACCTTTTTTTGTCCCGCACCTGCCAATATACTGTAATCCCAGTCTCTGTAACCGTTAGTCCTTTCAAATCTTTCTCTAAAATCCCCGGGTCAGGTCCACGAGGTCTTGTCTTTCTAGGTGGGGGAACAGGTAGGGGGTCTGGCTTTCTTTTTCAGCCATTGACGGGAGGGACGGCACTCTTGAGAGAGGGTTTTCTCTCTCGTTCTCCTTCTTACAACAATAAAATAAAATACAGTCTATTGCAAGTATAATTAAATGTCCATACAGGAGATAAATGGACAATCCTTTCAAATCAAGAACCTTTGAAACCATTAACATAGGCAATGCAAGTAATTTTCTGCTAGCCAAAGTAAATAATGGAACCATTATAGATTACCTATGGTCTGGCAGGGAGATGTGCTTAATCCTGCCATTTTGAAATACAGTCTTCCCACTTAGACCACAGGTTGCCATATAAGTCATGATTTAGGAATATATAGCCCTCTACATGTTGCTGGACTCCCAATCTTACCGGGTCTAGGCAGCAGTGTGAGTGGAGAGAAATGATGGGAACTGCAGGGCACAAATTGATTTAGAAGTCATTAAGATTCAAAAATGGCATCATCCTCCAACACTAACTAATAGGAGATGGTATCAATACATATTGTTAGACTGGTGGATGTTTTCTGAAAGATCTGATACAGCTCCATGAGTTGGACTGCCTGGTTGTGGAGATGGCAGAATAGAGAGTTCACATCTCTGTTCTGTCTACCAGAAGAGACAGCCAACTGAGATCAGCTGGAATGTATGAAGCTGATGAAGTTTCATGCCCACCTGTGTGGCCTTCAGCAAGCTGCATAGTCCCAGGATGCCCCCAGAAGAAGGGAATGGTCAAACCACTTCTAAATTCTTTTTAGCTAAAAACCCTGGAAAGGTCACCAGAAATCAAATTTGACTTTGTGACACTTAATTATTAATTATAATTCTTGTCTAAAGCATTTAACACACACATTCTCTCAATACTTATTATAAAAACATTTTAAATAGGTCAGTGTTATTGCCCCTATTGCAAGTGGAGGGCTAAGAAAAAAGTACCAAGCTGAGGTGAGCCAAATTCTATTATCCACTGAGCCAGAACATTCACTAGGTGACCTTGGACCAGTCACTCTTTCTCAACCATGCCTACGTCCCAGAGTCGTTGTAACAATAAAGTGGGATGGAGGAGAGGCATATCCATCTACCCTTAGCTCATTGATGGAAAGACAGGACATACCGTATTTTTCGCTCCATAAGACGCACAGACTTTCCACCCCCCTGTTTTATGGGGAAAAAGTGCGTCTTATGGTGCAAAAAAATACAGTAAATTTGACTAATAAATTAATCAAGGTCACCTAAAGAGTTAATGGCAATGGTGAGTTTTGAACCAAATGCTTCTAGGTTTAGCTGCTCTACTATTTGTCCATGCCCAGTATTTCTTGCCATATATGTTTGTACATCTTCCAGATCTCCATTCCCAACAGCATGCTTGAAGTTAACATGGTGCTGAGAAAAAGATTGCAGAATGTGCTGCTTTTGTTAGAATTCTGGTTTCCATGGTGATGTTTCTCCCTGCTTCTCCATAGTAATGTCTCATTTCATCCAAAACATTCTTCAAAAAATATTGTAAATCTGCCCTAAATTCATGGTACTGTTATGTGATGTATGACCTTGGGAAGTCTGATTGTTCTCAAAAATCAAAGAAGGAAAACACTATTTTAAATTAACAGGCTTTTAAAGCATATACAATATATATGCTTACACACAGAGCACAATGTATATGTATTCCTGTGCACTACAGCTCTTCCTGTTCATGTGAGTTAACAGCAGCAACCCAAATACTGCAGTATGACCATTGCAGACTACAATAGACTGAATTTTTGCCATGAGGCATGGCAGTGACATTCAGGAAAAAAAGATTACTAATATCAAACTGCCCGTTTCCACTTTTACTCATTACTTGTGACCTTCTAGAGACCACTGAGTGGCTGTGGTTGGAAATAAAATGCTGGCCTATTTTTTTATATTGTGAGGGTAAAGAGAGGGATTTATGTTTTTTGTTGTTGTTTCTGTGCAGCACTTGCCTAACAAATAAACCAAACAGACCTTCTGTGAGCAATACCTACCAAAGTGATTTTTATATTCTCCCTAGAACAATTAATGAAGAATTTATTCTTCTTAATTACGGTGCTTCTGCTATGCGATACCCAGTCTGGTACAGCAGATACAGTAATGGACTAGAACTCAGGAGATCTGGGTTCAGGCATAGAAACTCATTGAGGGTCCAGGGTGGAACAGATAAAAGCACTCCTTAAATACTGTATCTCAATTTCATTCTTAGACTGCATTGTACTGCAGTACAAATGGCCCATATACCTTCCCATATATTCTTGCACATGTTTCAAGCGCAAGTCCATTTACATTGGATTCCTGTGAACTTCGGACCCATCCAGGCAAGCATAGATCAGTCTGTACAGATTTATCAATGCTACTGCACCAGCTGCTCCATGAACATTCTCTGCAGCAAGCAAGAGTAAGGGAGTTTTTGGCATTCTTCTTCTGAAATGTCACTGACCAATACAATAAAATGTGCTTGGCGCAAGAAAAGATTCTTACAGGAATAATTAGTCAAAGAAGACTGGCTCTTGGTTTCTCTTTCTCTCTCTTACACACACACACACACACAATCATCACCATCATCATCATGCGGCATCGTCAATTCTGACTCATGGCAACTCTTTTTCAGGTATAAAAAGTGGTTTACCATGCCCTTCTTCTGGGGGCACCCTGAGACTGTGTAGCTTGCCCAAAGCCACACAGGTTCGCTGTTCATCCTGGAGGCACAGTGAGGAATCGAACTACCAACCTCTGGCTCTCAAAAGTCCATTTGGTCCTGGGAAACAGGCAATAGAACATGATCTTACTATGATAATTAATCCCCTTGATGATAATCAACCCCCTATGATCAGTCCCTTATTTGTAGACAACTATCTTCCTCTCTAGTCCGGAAGACCGTACGCAAATTATGACAAACAACATAATACTGCATTTATGTTAGGATAACTGTAGATTTCTCACGGACATGACAGCTGGGAAATTCTTAGCCATCTCCCATTGTCCTATAGCACCAGTTAGATCAGGGTGTGGAACTGTCTCTCAATGGGGTGAAAGCAACTGACATCAAAGGGTGTGGATATGCTCTTGTGTCATTGACTGAAGAGCTGGGTGGCGAGTCTGCACTCAAGACTTTGGAACAAACATTGCTTCTCTTCTCCTTGCTCCTAAGCTCCCTCACCTAGGGTTTGACGATAGCAGCTGAGAACAGTCCTAATCTCTTTTCTCCATCTCTCTCATAGCCTCTAGCACAGTTTCCCAACCTTCGGTCACCCAGGTGTTACTGAACTGCAATTCCCAGAAGACTTCACCCTTTGCTGTGCTGGCCAGAGTTTTTCCCCAGTCAAATCTGGAAAGAATCAACATGCAGTATCATGTCTCTTCAACCCTTAAAATAATAAAAAAGCGAATCAGGTAGTAACATTTCAGATTTTACTCACTCAGGGTCCTGCAAGTTGTAGGGAATTATTTATGGTTCAAGTAAGTGGTCTGCCATGTTTCTCATCAATGTTAGTCCTATCTCTATCCTGCAATATTAACAGTAGGCTGCATGGGAGGATTTTTAAGCATTTCCCCTCAGAACAGTTATCTACCTGATAAGTACTAAAACAGTGGCTCTTAACCTTGGGTCTCCAGAAGTTCTTGTACTACATATCCCAGAAATCCAGGCCAGCACAGCAAGTGGTGGGGGCTTCTGGGGATTGTAGTCCAAGAACACCTGGGGACCCATGGTTGGGGACCACTGTTTTAGAATAACAGTGGCCTACATTGCAGGATTGTAGTATGCTGATGCATGTAGTCTGATGGAGGTAGAAATGTTAAATTGTACTTTTTTACCCTCCGGCAGCAGCAGCATAATAATAACAGTTGTTGTTGTAATAAGTTGGTTCTAATAAGTAAAATTAGAACTTATTTATAGCAACCCTAATTGGTCTTTCAAGGTAAGTGAGATATATAAGGAGTGGTTTTACTAGTTCTAGATCCCTAGTGAGTTTCAATGGCTGAAAAGGGATTCAAATCAGGTCTCCTGAGTCCTAGTCCATTATGGATTACACCACATTAGGTACTGTATCTTGTAATAATGCTACTGGCCAGATGTCTGAGGATGAGCCGCTCCATATTTAGCTAACCAGACTTTTCTGTAGACAGTCAAAATACAGTCCACATCTAAAAGCAGGACCATATTCAAAGGTTTACTCGCTTGACAAAGCGTATCCTTCACTGACATAACAGTTGAGAGACAAAATTAACTCCATGCCAGTACAAAGTGCCAGAGTAGGGCTTCGTGGAGGAAATTGTTTGTTACTTACATTTCCATCCTGCCTTGTTCCCAGCACTTAAATTCCAAGGGGACTAACAGTAACATTTGAATATGTAGCAAAAACAAACAGAAATCAACCTGTAAAGCAGGATTGTTGAAAATCCTCTGCCTGCCCCACAACTTGCAATATTCAGAATAAATTACATTATACTCCCTCCTATGTTTAGTGTCCTCCAGCTTGTAAAGAAGAGAGTACTTTATATTTTCTGGAATTTGCAATGTGCTAAAGGCGGGTGGAAAAGAAAAGATAGCTAGCGTGAGAGGAGGGAAGGGGGAGGAGCACGAATTGGTCCCGCCTCCGACGTTCTACGTACTTCTCTCTTCTCTGCTCGGCGGCTTTCGCGGGGTCTGTGTTTTTTGTCAGTAGCTCCGTCGGCATCGGCGGAACAAGATGGCGGCCCGGGTGAGTGAATGGTGGAGTGGAAGGTGGGGGGTAGTGACGTGTCAGTTAACTCGACGCCCTTTCCTCATTTTTTTTCTTCTTTTTTGCTATGGCTGCATTCACTGTGGCAGCCCGCCTAACAATAGTTCTCTCTCTCCTGGGGAAATACCCGGTTCGCTCTTCGGCTGTAGCGAGCAGAGTGTTGAATTTGGACAAGAAGGACCCCGAGTTCGAATTTACTGCTCCTTGGCTGCGAAATCCCATTTAAGTTATAGGTGGAGGGTGGCAGTCGCTATTGTACAGGGCAGTGGGGATGCCATGAAGGAACTTGACTTGTGGGACGAAAACAGAATTTTTAATTTTTAAAGGAAGTTTATTTAATCGGAATATATTGATACAACTCTTCGCATTATAGAGACCCAGCAGTGGTAGATTTACCTGTTAAAAATAATCGAGTTATTTTTGTGCCTCAATGGGGAGGGGGGGGAAGAATCAGCAATCTCGGGATGAAGCCCTTTTCATTTCTTTGCTTGCTGTGTTCCTAAAGCCGACACTTGTCTGTGATTAATAAAATAGAATTCCTTCCCGAGCATCTTTCTTGTGCGAGTGGCTCTTTGCCATCTCTCCCTCCAGTCTCAGTCTTCAGATTACTGCACCAGAGTGTACTAAGAACGAGGACACTGGAAGGAAGGGATAAGGGCTATTCTTGAAATAGATGGCTTTCCTCGAAGATAGGTTGGCAAAAACTTGCCCTTCTCCTCCATCTGTTACTCTCTAAATACAGCATTGCAGGAAGAGGGACATCCTGCCCAATTAATGCTGAGGTGCTTCTCTCTAATGATTAATATTCTGGGGATGACCTCTGAGTAATAAGCTCTTGTCACTATATGTTGCTTCCTCCATTTGGAACAGGAGTATCTAGTGTGTGAAGAAAGTGGGAGGCTCAAGCTGTTTATGCAGTGAATGCCTTTACTGCAATGTACATCTGATTGGCAAAGACTTAGGTTGCTTCTGAGGTGATGGTGATGCTGGTGGTGGTTACAGTGATGTCAGATTTCTGTGGCTTTATTTGTCTAGTGGCCCAACATGTGCCTAGCATTTGGTGTCTTCTAAAATGAACGCAGATGGAATTAATAGTGAAACGATTGGGGGAAAAACAAGTAAAATGTACTTATGTAGAGCTGGTCCGCCTTTTTCTTAAATGCTTTTTTTAAAATTTTAGAGATGCATAGGCCTGTATTACTAAAAGTAACCTCCCAGTAATAAAGGAGAAAGGTGATTCTTCAGGTCCTTACAATATTAAGTTCTTGTGCCCTATAGATTGGAAAAGCCTTATATGTAACACAAAAGTGGCATGTATTGTGGTGTGAGAAAAGCACTTGGAATTCTGGAAGCATAAAAATAATTTAATGCAAAGGAGTTTTATTAAAAATTAATGTGGCAGATTTCCACTGGCTGGTGATACAGAAATGAAAAAATCCTATCTTTGGAAGTTGCAGACAGTGCTGGTAAGATTTGTTAAACATCATTTAGGCAGAGACGACATTTTACCCAGAGTTGGGTTTTATTGCATAATTCACAAAGGCACAGTCGTGCAGGGTAGGCATTTTATTACATTATCCCCAGATTTCAGCTCCCTTCCAAGCACAAGGCTGTTTTAAAGAGATAAAAACTACTTCGGACAAAAACCAGGTCTAAAGACATCCCACCCCCCCAGTTTGGTTAGTGTAATTTAATTGAGAGAAAAAAAGGTCCCAAGTTAGCATGTGACATGCTCTAATTATCAGTAAGCTAGTCCCATTTGTGTTGGGAAACTTTAGAATTCTAAAAGGATTCAGGAAATACAAGGCTTTCTAAACCCTCCTACTAACCTTGAAGATTCTATGTGGCTCTTCTTGTATTCTTATGCCTGGTCCTATCTGTGGTCCTAGAGCTACATGGGCAATCTCCATTGCTCAGTGTAAAAACAGAACTGGGACTAGCTCTTTCAGGTTAGAAATGATAACTGGGAAGCTTGAAAGATCCAGAGTGGCCAATCCATGCACCTCTAGGGATTGTTGGACTTCTGGGTCCATCAGCTTCTGAAATCATTGTTGGTAATCAAAGGCAATGAAGGGTGCAGTCCAACATCTGAAGTGTCACAGGTTGCCTGCCCTAGCTGTAGTCTAGTGCATTTGTATCTACCCCTTTGATTTTCATGAAGTCTGGAAGTATTTCTATTTCCATTAAGTGCCCAAGAGGTCATGTTGCTACATGTACATGTAGATCCTGTTATGGAATGTATTTTCAGGTCTGCTTATAAGCTTTGTGTGGAGCAGGTGTTTAGCCTTATTGATTGAAAAAGTTCAACAGCTTCTTAGGTAAACAAGGAATGTGTCTAAGTGGAAAATTCTCATTGTGTAGATTGAAAAATGGTGTCTGATGAGACCGAGTATGTCGTAATGTATATAATCTCTCACAGAAACTAGGTTCTTCATTTGAAATTTGTGAAAAAAGCTTAAATTGGATTTGACTAGGATTGACATTCTAGTACAGTAATAATAATAAAAAAATACCATGTTGCCCTAGATGTGCTGTCCAACTTTTCCAGAGAGTATCTTCTTCCTCTGCAACTGTCTGAGAAAAATTATGTGAATACTTGTTTCTGACTTAGATGGGATACAGCTTATTTCTGTGTATTTAATTCCTTGGCAGATCAGTAGGATTGACCTCCCTGCTAGTAAGATTGCAACTTTGATCATTTGTGCCCACCCTAATACCAGGGGCAGGGCTTTCCTAACAATTAAAGAGCTTCTTTGCCCGCTTTCCTAAAATCAGCTATTAAGTGCCATAGATACCGGTAAGTGGCTGTTTACAACCCTGCATCATTCAACAGCTGACTTAAAATTAACAGTTTTCTGAGAGGTTTTTCTGTTCTTTCATGATACATAATTTAAATTTGGCAGCTTGTGTAAGTTGAACCACATAACAGCTCTGGATTTTACGTAACATTTTGAAGGTGAAAGACACTGACTAAGCTTATTCTGCATAGAAACAAGAAGTTCCCTGGTCCTTACTTATCGACACTAAAATGAGCAGCCAATTGTATTTATACAGGCAGTGTCAATACTAAAAATTGCTTCCTTTCACAGTATCTATTCTAAATGGAGAAAGCTTCCAAATAAAAACAAGTCCAACACTCCCAAATTGGCTAGTTGGTTCTAACCAATATGTGAAGGTCGGCATCTCTCATCCTGCTTCTTGTCTTTCACCATATGGATAGAATTGGCAAGTCACCATACTGCAGTGATGGAAGAATTTACTGCTGGCAAAATTCCCTTTCTTTGCAGTCTTTAGAAGTTAGACAACCTGTCAGGGTCTAGACTATCAACTCTCATGCTCTTCTGCTCCCCAGTCTCTAAACCCTTTTTGTCTGAAGAGGATTCTTTACTGTTAGTCATGCATAGATGCTCCCCTTCTTAGCTTATGCAAGGTTTTGATCTAAATATACTGACTTCAGTTCCATATTCTGCCAACTGTTCCTCATCCTTACAGCTGATCTAAATATACTGACTTCAGTTCCATACTGTTCCTCATCCTTACAGACACCATCTCCTAGCTATCCTTCACAACACTTTTCTCTCTTTTTCTCCCTATGCTGTCAGCCGTTAGCCTATAGAGTAGCTTTCTCTCTCTTATTAGTTTCAGTTCTCTGACTTCACCTACCTTCCCCTTCCCCTCTTGTTTCTTAGCCGACTTTCCACTCTTCCTGGGGACATTTTGTAATTGTCCTTAGAAACAGGTTTTAATTTTCACCCAACTGACCTATCCCTCATAGACGGCATACTTTCTGACATTTTCCCCTGAGCAGATGAACTGTAAAAATATTCCTTGCTGTTACAGCCTTACACACCCATTAACACAATACGGCCTGGATTACAGAGCTAGGAATTTGGGTTGAGTTTCTTTAGTCAGTTAGCAAGTTCAGCAAGCAGTCCTGCACTTACGCTAAAACTAGGTTATGACTCAGCAACATCAAGATTGCAGTGGTATATAGTACAGTGGTGCCTCGCAAGACAATTGCTTTGCATAACGACGAATTCGCTTTACAATGAGGTTTTCGGAGCAGTCTTGCGCTTCGTTTAACAATGTTTCCTATGTGCGATTTTCTCTTTACGATGTTAGGGACCTTGCCTCGCAAGATGGTTAAATTTTAGGTCCCTGTTTTTTGCTTTACAATGTTTTTGACAGCTTGGTCTTGCTTTGCTATAAGAGTCTTTTAATGGTCTCTGTTTCGTTAGACGGCTGTCTTTGCTTGGGAACCACGTTTCGCTGAACAATGTTTCCTATGGCAGTTTTCGCTTTATGATGACAATCTGTTCCCATTGAAACGGATTATCAGGTTTTCTATGCATTCCAATGGGAAAACTTGTTTTGCAAGACGGTTTTTGCTTAACAGCGATTTTCGTGGAACGAATTAACATCGTCTTGCGAGGCACTACTGTAGTTGCAAAGTGTGTTTGAGTATACACATTAACTAAATTGTGCATGAGGTTTTCTTTCATCAACACCCTTTGAAATGTCTCCATTTAGCCTCAGAAAGTCTTACTCCAGGTCACCTTTTCCTTTTCTACTTAGATGCAGAAATGGTAGATGTCCAGGAAACAGAGGGGACATATATTAATTGAAGAGAAACAGACTCGGTAATTCTCCCTAACAGGGACTTGGGATCCAAAGAACTGGTTTAAATGTGCCCATAGAATGACTTTGTTGTCTGTTGCCGAACAGTAACAGATGACAAAGATAGAAATGCTCAATTTGTACTTTAGCTAATTAACCTCCCCAAGAGACAGTCTTTGACCATCCAGACAAATGTGAAGTACAAGTGGAAGGGACAGGGCTGCAGCTTGAGATTGATAAACAAATAGTCAATGAATACCTTATTGTTTTGAATAAGTTCAAATCTCCAGGGCCCTCTGAAGTGCATCCAAGAGTACAGTATTGAAGGAACAGGCTGAAGAACTCTCAGACCCACTGTCTAA